GTAGTTAGAATTTAAAAAAAATACTGAGAAATATGGGATTAAAGAAAATTCACTCAACAAGTACCACGTTTTTCACAAATAATAAGTTTTCCCAATTTTATCGTTAATGCTTATATACAAAATACAATCGTTTTTAATAGTACTAATTATAATTGTAATTACTTTAATAAGTTTTATTGCAACAAAGTATTGTAACTGATTGCAGGTTACAATAAGTTGATTTAGTAATAAAAACAAAAACCAATATTATAATAAATTTAACCGGATTAGTTTAGTCAAATAAATGTATTACCAGATTGCGAGCATAAGGTAGTAATGAATCGCTTTCGTATAACTATGTTAAATATATATGTCATAGTAAGATGTTTGAAGCCGTGATATACTCGTAGTTATATCCCTTATGATATAGCTATACATACACCGTAATACAGTCATATGAACTCTGCTCATAACTGTCTTACTAGGAATATAACTTGATACGAGCACCATCTAGTAATATATCACGACTTCAGCCATAGCGTGTGTGTGTGCGTGTGTGTATGTGCTTGCGTGTGTGGGGGGATGTGTGCTTGTGTGTGTGTGCGTGCACTATGTATATTTGTGGTATAACCTAAAACAATCAACAATATAAAATCCAGGCTGCTGAGGGCAATTTGGACAGAAGAATGGTGTATCTTTACGTATTTTATTGACTTCCCAGCAATATTTGCATCTTCTGCGCATTGATTTTCCTTTCCGTGGGCAAGGCTGAATTATATGAACAATACTAAGTATAACCCCCTCTTCTGAGACCTCTTCCGTATTTTGGACCTTAGCCTCGGGAAGTAAATTTTCTATAACTGATTGCCCGAATTCGTAGTAACTTAGTTTTTTGCCAGAAAACAAATTAGATAAGGTAAATGAATTGTACATCATTTGTTGGAACAGGTGGATTCCCAATTTTATGTACCACCTGATAGACTTATGTTCGCAGCAATAGTACGCTATCGTTTGATCTTGGTGATCAATACCACCCATGTTACGATTATATTCTACAACCATTTTAGGCTTTGAGACCTCTGTATTTCTTGTTGTAGTGGTAGTAATCATTTGCGAATTAAATTGTGATGATATCATAGTGACGTCTCTGTTATCCCGCACAAACACCATTTTGGTTGTACTGCGAGACATATTCGCCTTTCTTTAACTTTTTAGTAGTAATGTCCTTTGGGTTATTTTTTCGATTTAATCGTAATGTTCCCGTGCAGTAAGTATTTTCAGATAATAATTTTCTGTCAGATCAACAGAATTATAAAAGTTGTCCATAGAAACAGAGTAGCCTTTATTCAAAAAATCATGTAATAGCTGTAAAACTACTTTTGAGGAATGATTCACGCCACCTACAATTGGGTCTCCTGCGCCGGCATACACTATTTGTTTTAGTATTATTCCGTTTGCATCAGTCGAAATATATAAATTTATAGCATATTTATGGTTTTTATTCTTTATGTATTGTCTGAATATTAGTCGACCGCGCCACAATACAAGGGATTCATCAATACATAAATTATTTACAGGGTTCTATATTTCTGTCATCAGTTATCGTCTGATTCTAAATTTTCAAAGTGCATTGCTCTTAGAATTAGTAAAAAACGATTATGACTCATGTGCTCACGAAAACAGGTCAGGTTAAATACTCTGTGCTTCTTGCAGTAATCTTGTATTCTATTTAATTTTATTGTACCCATATGGAAAAGTAGCCCCAAAATATTTTGAATTCTGAAACTGTTACATTTTTCCATCATTTGTAGTGTATTCGACTTCCGGGTAAACTTTTTGCAAGAATATTGCTTGCATTACGATTGGTTTTATCAATGATGTCCTGAATTACGTAATCTGTCATAATTAAATTAAAAAAGTTGATAGGTTCAATTGCTTCTAGTTGTACATTTAACCCCATTGGGTTTCCTATAAAAGCTATATCTTTCGACAATTTAAAAACCCATAAGTTGGAGGTGCGAAGGTTTCAGTTGGTATCATATTATCCTATTTTATAGACAATAAGTAATAAGATTTTGTATTTTGTAAATAAAAATTGTAACAAAATTAGGTAATGTGTTTTATTGATGATTCAGATTAGCGTTGTAGATAGGAACAAAGAAGTATAATACAATAGCACTGATAAGTCGACGCATACGCCGAGGAAAAATAGACAATGACGGTATTCAATGAACAATAGATAAATAGATAAGAACAATGGGGCGCTAATGACGGTGGAGGTATCAATTAGATAAGAGTTAATTGATCTGCACATCTCCGGAACCGTGCATCCTACGCAAAAACGGACCGCAGATTCGTGATCAGAGCATGCCAAAACCTTTCTTTTTTTTTAGGATCGTGAGTCGACGAACGTTGTACCACTTCTGACTAATTGAGCCAGAAGTGGTACTACCTATCTACTTGAATCTGCTGAAGAGCAGATCTTAGGCCTTGAGTTGCACTCATCCTAATAAAGAGTGCCTTTGGAAAGCTAAAAACTCAAGAGAACTTTTTAAATTTGAGAGCAAAAAATATTCTTTATTCATTTTAATATCTTCGTGCGAATTTCTTTTTCATACCTAAATTTAACTATGAATCATTACATCTTAGTCCTTAGGAGTGATAAGGAATATGTAGTCTTAAAAATAATCATTATTAAATTGGTCCAATGTATAAGGGATTGATTTTGAAGATGTCTCTGTGTCGAAGACTTCCTCTCAATATTGGAGGATTTTAGGGCAACGTAGTGTCTACCGCGCTGTCGTCATAAGTGACATGTTTTAAAATATTTTATTTTCTTACACATGCTGGTTTTCTCACGGTGTTTTCTTTCACTGCCGACCACGTGTACTGCAATCAAAATGTGTTAGTGCCCGGTGGACCAGGCGCATCTGCTCCACACTCATAGGATTCGAATTGCGAATTTCCACACGCGCGGAGCCAGCTACGGCACTGAAGCTGAGCTTATTCTCCCTCGTTGCCAGCTTCACAGACTTCCTGGGCTGGTCTTTGGGGGACTCTTCCTCAGACCGACCGCGTTTTTTTGCCTTCGGAACTGGGGGAGGTTTGGTCGGAGGAATTTCGTCCCAAGGCTTCTGGCAGAGAGAGAGGGCCTCTTCGGCTACTATCAGCCGCCGGTACATCTTCTTTGCTGCCCCACTAAGGTTATAAGGCCTAGCGAATTTTTTCTTTTCCCCTCCCTGGTTCGTTTCCGTTTGTGGTTCGGCTGCAGACGTGCCCTCCACTTCACGGCTCGTCCCAGGTTGGGGCGGTGTGTTGCAGGATATTGTTGAGGCTAAAAGAGCCTCTTCCAAACCTACAGATAGTTCCATTAGAGGAGATTTTTCGTTAATCTTTTCACAATGTCGATTTTCATCCATTTTGGTCCCACGATTAGCTAGGGAAATATTCGGTTACCCCGGCAGAGCCCCGCATGCCGAGGGAAGGGCTAAAATACTACCCGAATCGACCTAGTGTCGGGTAGGCACCGTTTGCGACTGGGCTCCCTCCAGCCACGCATCCATCGGCACGGCACGCTTGACACTTTGAATTGGGTTAGGATGGGAAAAAGGGGGTGGATAAAAGATAAGAAGAAGAGGATCGTCTGTGTGTTTCAGTTCTGTCTGTTTCCTATTGAACCAGACCAAATAACAGGCGGCAACCACGTGAAGGAGGAACTCCTCAGAATTGCCCTGGGGATCAACACGTCCTGCGCTCTCCCCCGGAGCCATTCGCCAGACTGCTCGCCGGACAGGAGAGTAGAATAGGTGTTAATCTAGTCCTACTGATAATATTAAAAACGTAGACAGAGAAACCTACAGACAAATTGACGCCTTCTTTCGCATTCGCACACGAAAAAGATAGATTTATGCATACGTCTTGCATAGAAATGAGACAGAGCGGTGTGATTGTTTGTCTCTTTCTCCATGCCGGTTTCTTTGTTTAGCAAACTACACTTTGTTAAACAACTTTGACAGTTCGTAGCGATCTAAGGAGTTTACAAGTTGGTTTAGGTGAGAAAAAAAGTGTTCTGTGAGCTTAAGATTGGTGAATCTTGTTCGTTTCAGTTCTTAGAACAATTAAAAAGTTTATCTAAATATGTTTAAAAGTCATAAAGATTATTGAATAACCTAAAACTACGTTCGTCCTTTCTCACTCGAGGCCACGCTAATCATTAGTCTATAGGTATAGTCATTTCTCTGTCTACGATTAAAAAGTTAGGAGTAGACTAACCCCTGCCCAAAAATAATATGATACCTGTTGGCAACGCGAGAATAACACACTGTTTTATACAGAAAAACGTTAAACTTAAGTTAAGATAAGAAAATGCTTATTTCTGAGTAAAGTAAGGTTAGTTGGAGTAACATAGATGCATGCATTACATAGTAATCGGCTATGTAATATACCATTTAAATAAAGAATTAAGAATCTTTTGTACGCTTTAAGCACTTTTGATTAGGGGAGAGTTGGATATTACCGTGCCCATAAGATCTCAGACCTATAATTTGGACAGTTTGATATACAGATTTTAAAAAAACGTTTAAGTGGTAGAGAATTTATTTAGCTACACATCCAGCATGGCAAAATATTTTAAAAAATGAACAGAATGTATTTATTGTGATACTTATTTAAAAAAAAAGGGAGGGCGTGGTATTATCAGACTGGTTGGATAATATCGTGCCGAGGTTTGATAAAACCGTGCCCAGAATAATATTGTGAATTAGTAACCTTGAAAAATTCAATTTTAAGATATTATTTTATTTTTATTGAACTATTATTTTAGAACAATATAAATCAGTTATACAAATTATAACATAATAATAAGAGAAACTTAGATTATTTATGTTAATAAAACTTATGTACTTCTACATTTATTATTTTATGAACGACTAGGTATTCAAATTAGTAAATCTTTGAATAAAATTACTTTTTATCATATTTCTTATTATCAGAATTAAAGTAGCATTAATGAATGCAAAAATTTACGGCAGAGTATTTTCCGCTACATTCTTTATGTAACCAATACTGATACTAGCACGACCAAATTCTTGACAAACGGCGTAAATATCATGATTCTCCACAAAGCCGTATTCATAATCATCACACAACTGAGCGATGGGAATATCATCCTCACTATTTTCACTGCTGTTGATACATTTCTTTGACCTAACTTTACGTCTCTTTCTATCTTTTGCGAGCTTTGCCTTTTTGTTTTTCAGACAGTCTTCATTCTCAATTTTTTCGGTGCTGTTCATAACTTTTCATTTAACAGACTTTCCTTTAGTTTGTTTATTCTCTTTAAAATTCTTGACTTTTTCAGTCTTCATTTGTTTTCCTTGTCGCTTTAGGTTTTTTCTTCTAGCTACTGTTCACCCAATCTCAATCGATCCCTAATTGTGGAATTCGGGACATCAAAGTTTTTAACAGCTGTCTTTACTACCGTTCAGTATAGTCAATAAAACAGCCCTCATATTTTCTAGATTCCACTTCTTTTTTTGCTGTACAGATTTAGCCGTCTAAAAAAAACATAGTATACAATTTGGCGCCATGATTAATTACCGCGCCCTGGCGCGGAATTGACAAACTCGACCATTTCATTTTATAACCTCAAAATAATACAGTTAAGTTAATTGTGTATTCAAATCCATTTAGAAATTAATTCTACAATATGTAACAATTAAAATATATGGGAACAATGTGTTACGATATAAATACAGCATAGCTTACCTCTTATTAAAATATCCGCAAATTATAAGGAACACAAGAAAAAATTTTCACGACGTGGTGTTACTCTGTCCCTGCTCGAAGCTTATACAAAGGTACTCTGTGCTCGGAGCAAACTGGTGTTCGCGCGAGGAGGAGTAGGCGCTTCGGGATGTGATTTTTAAGTGTTGGATAGCTCTACATGCGTTTAGTTTTTGCAATATGTTGATAAGCGGAATTATCAGCCGCGCGGTATTATCCAACTCTCCCCTGATGTTTATTTAATGTTTAAGTTTAGTTGTATGTATTATCGTGCTCTATGGATAAGACATACCAGTATGTTATATAAGGACAGTTTAATACCGTTTTAATGCAGTTTAATGCAGTGAAATGGTGTTTATGTAAGACAAGGGTAAGTCAGTGGCGTAGCGCGGGTTTTCGCCGCCAAGAGCCACCCGGAATTTCACCCTCCCCCCCTTTTTCTCAATTTAATTTAAAGTTTAAATATTTTATTCCACAGAAGTAATATACATCGTACAGCTTATTGAAAGTCAATATAAACTACTACTGATTCGGAATGAATATACATCTATGGGAAGATATGGCGCAAGAAAACCACAGGAAGTTTATCTTTTAAAATGTCAGATTGTTTACAAGGCATAACTTTACTAACCTACCACTTGGTACATACAACAATAAATAATAATAGTAATGAATGTATAATTGTATTTTAAATTATACATAGTGCTCAACACTTAGCAACCTTTACAAGTATTGCAAAAAGGCATACTTAGTTATAGTTAAACTATGAGCGTCACCCATTATTTTATTTCTTTACCCCTAAATCAGATCAAATTTAAAAAATCTAAAAGTAAATTCATTAGTATTTACTAAACGCAATTTAACGTTATTTTGCATTTGATTAATTAAGAGAACCTTTAATTACCGCCGAAACTGGTTACTTAAAGCGATTATCAACCTTTTCTTAACCAACAACAATTAATATTAACTTGGATGGAATAAAATATTTATGTTACAGGGTGCATAGTATTATTAATTATTTCCGAGACTATAATGATTTCTTATATTTACGCAAACACTACACATTGATTAAAACTACTTTTACGGATTTTATCGCGTTTAATTATACTTTTAATTATTTTAATTTTTAATTCCCGACGTTTCGGGTGCTTTCCAGCCACCCATGGTCACGGGGGACTGAGGTGACTGACGTCCCGATGTCATTGTTAAACCCGGAGTACCTTCAGCTTTTTTAACAAAATGTAAAAGTAGTTTTAATCAATATTTCCGAGATTATTAGTTTTAAAATTAGATTGAAAATGTACTTTTCTTGTTTTTTTTTTTCAAAGTAAAATCTTTAACACCATCATCTATATTAAAATGCTTGTCGTGTTCCATTTCCAGAATAGCTAAATGTAGTAGTCTCAACGTTAACATAGACGATCTCCGAAAATTTTTCATTAACTTTAGTTTAAAAAAGTGTCTCTCGCTACTTGCGGTAACTTGCAACTAACGGCAGATGTTAAAAAATCCTCAGCATTATTTTTCATTTTATTTTAATTTTTATTATGACAATGTTTGGTAAGTCATCTTCAAGTACGGACTCTATTATGTATTTTAATAAACCCAGATAGCCGGACTTAATAAGACCTTTTTACAGTCTGGGTCTGTTGCAGCTGCAACGCACGTAGACGTGCGCGCTCCTGTTGGAACTCTTCTGTATTTATGTCTCAACGAGCTTGATCTAAGTTAAATTTTTCCTGCCCAATATTACTGCAGGCATTAAAAAGGCATATTTTTGCGCTAGATTTTCCATCTGTTGGAATCGATCATCAATTTCAGCAGTTACTCAGTCTATTGAAGTAAACATTGTTCGCCTTAATTTGTTCTCGTACGATAACCCAACATCTACATTTTCGTCTCCAAAAATATTCGTCCTCCAGATTCGTCTTGTGGATTCAAAAGAAATTTCAAGCTCTTTACATAAATTTTTAACATATTGTAGAGAGTCGTTCACGATTTCCTCTTGGTTTTCTCCTAATACTATTATAAGAAGATGGAATAACAGCAGAGCTTCTAAAAACGGATGAAAACCGGTAAATGAAGTCCTTCAGAAGCTCTTTAATTTCGTTCTCCGTGGTGGCACTACTCCGGAGGCGTAGAGCAGAAGTGCTTTAGCCTTTGTTCTTCAAGAAAGGCGAAAATACTCTCTTGCTGCAGACCGATTTCCCTTCAGAGCCGAGTCTACGTTTTGTTTTCGAGAGTCAAAACGAATCGTCTCGCATGCAGACTCAACAACTATCAGCCGGTTTCCGAAAAGGCTTTAGCACAACAGATCACATTCATACAAATCGAACAGTACAATTTGCTAATTTGTCTTGAGTATGTGAACTATGAGAAAGCATTCCGTCGAAATTCGGACACGGCTGCAGTCTCTTCAGCGGTGCCAAGTTGACTGTCGGTATATCGAAGTGCTGAAGTGTTTGTACAGTAGGACAACGATGGCTATCCGAGTACAGAACCAGAGTACAAAACTTTTCCAACTGCAGAGAGTTGTAAGACAGGGTAACATAATATCCCCCAAAACTCTTCACCGCTGGATTGAAAGACGTTTTTAAGCAACTGGAATGAAAGATTACGGTATTTCGTATTTCGTCAATGGCGAGCACATCACTCATCTTCAATTTGCCGACGATATTGTCCTTATGGCAGAATTGCTGGAGGAACTAAGCATAAGCTCTGCTATGCTCAATGACCGAATCAATTAATGATAGTTTCTCCTGATAAAAGGTTAAGGGTATAGAAGAACAAAAAATAGAGAAGGTGTAAATAAATATTTAACGAAAAATGACCTTTGATTCCTATTTCTGTAAAACTAGGTAAGCCAAACACAATAAATTATCGATACAAAATAGTAGTATCACCACTGACTCGCGCTCGACTCCTGCGGCCGTGTTCTTGGAAATTTACTTACCTACGCAACAATATTGTTTATTGCCCATACTATAAATCCGTCGCTGCTTTTAGCTGTCGTACTCGTAAACTAGCTTATGAATCGATGAGTATTGAAATGTGAAAACAATTACATTTTCGGAAACAATTGTAGTACTGGAGGTGAATAATTTTATTTAAGTATTAAATACAACATTATTTAAAACACTAAGTACTTATTTATGAAATGTTATCCTTTTATTTAAAAATTGGCAAGTTGTAGAAGAATTGCCGCAGTTGGATATGCTTCAAAACTCCATTTTTACGTCTCTGCGTCCGAAAGTACAATCAGTGTGTGTTGCTAGTGATGACCTATGGATACTGCTTGTCGTATGAAACTCAAGCTCGCTCAGCGAGCTATGGAGAGTGCTATGCTCGGAGTTTATTTGCATGATAGCCTTAAAAACGAGGATAACCGCAATAGAACCAGAGCAACCGACATAGTTCAACGGATTAGTAAATTGAAATCAATAGGCCGGCCATATAGCTCGAAGAATCGACAACTGATGGGGAAGAAAGGTTCAAGGTTCAAGGAGTGGAAGCCTAGGAACGGCAGGCGAAACCTAGGGCGTTCCCGCACTAGTTGGAGTGACGATCTGGTAAGACATGCAGGAATTCGATGGATGCAGGTGGCTTAGTGATTGTTTTGTCTGTTGAATAACTGAGTACTCGCTGTCGCTTGTTGGTTCGTTCGCGTTCGAGAAAACTCGGTGCCGCCGCAATGCCGGCTAGCCGAGCGCCGGGTGGTTGTCGCCTAGCACTTTGGCAGTATTTGACTTCATCTCGTCTCCTCTCTTATGCACCCTTCGGTTTCGCTTGGCACGTAACATTGCGGGCGCAGTATGGAGTTAATTTTATTGAAACTCGTGGCGCTTGCCGCCATCCGCTTTTGTATGCCGCCCGGAGCCATGGTACCCCGGCACGCCCCACGCTACGCCACTGGGATTTTTTTTATAGGATAGGGTGACAAACGAGCACACAGTCCACCTGATGATAAGTGGTTGCTGTGGCCCATAGACATCTATCCTCGATTACGAATCAAAATGCAGATGCGTTGTCACCCGTGAGGACTAAGATGGAATGCCTCGTTTCTAGAAAAAAGGGTCTCCGGTTCTCTACACTCACCATACGAAATAAAGCAGCATTAAGCTACTATTTGACGCTGGTATTCTGTGAGAGCGTGGTCCTTCCCCGATCGAGCCGACCCATTCGTGCTACAACTATACTACTAATATAACTGCAGCATGGCTCTACCACGGATAAGATTATATTGTATAAGATTTTTGTGAATAAGTATAAATATCAAAAAGAGATGGGAAGAGTACTGGAGGCTAGAGGATTCAGAAGGTCGTGTAAATATGAGTTTGCCAACTTGTGCAGGTAATTAACAGAAAAGAAAAACGCGATTCCGAACCGTTACTTAAGAATATTGATTAAAATATAATTAATAAAGGTTTTAAAATGTATATAATAGTGACTTGTTAATGTTTAAGTTAAATTTTGTATTAGAATAAGATAATAGAAATGTCAATAAATTTCT